GGAGAAGTGTTATTGCTCAGGAGCAGACGTCTTGAAGGCAGAGGCTGGGAAGACAGGGTTCACCTGCTGGAGCAGTGCTCCAGGCTGACAAGTTTGGGGTTTCTTCTGTAGCTGGTGTGCAAAGGCTGAAGGATTTTGAGCAAGAAGGTGACCCAGCGGAGCCTGCAGGTAGACCACTGTGTGTGTGGTGAGGCTCCGCGAGGCAGGAGGCTGTTTATTGAAAGTTAAGTCAGGCAGCATAGACATCTGGCTAGGATAATGCCAGAGGAACAGAGAGGAGGGCGTGGGGCGGGAATATTTTGGAGGCATCCTAGACAGAGGCGGCAGTTGCTTGGATGGGAGCAGCGGAGCGTAGAGCCTGAGTGGACCGCGGTGTGGAGGGACAATGTCTGGGAAAGTGGTCCTGCTCTGGGGGCGGGGAGGCCGCTGGTGCTCAGCCGCGTTGAGTGTTATGGACACGACTAGGGCTGGATGGGTGAACGTGGAAATGCAGGGGATCCCCCACGAGGTGGGTCCGCTGTGAAGGAGACGTGGCTGCAGGCCGGAGCTGCCTGCTTTCCGGTGGAAGTAAGCTCTGTCCCTCTCTGCTCTCTGCTGCAGGCTACCACTACAACCACCTGCTGTCTCCGCAGTACCTGAGCCTCGCCACCAACCTGTCGGGCTGCACCGCCCACCAGCACATCAACTGCTCGGACATGTGTTTCCACCAGAAGTACAGGACCCACGACGGCACCCGCAACAACCTGCAGCATCCCATGTGGGGCGCCTCGCCCACCGCTTTCGAGCGCCTGCTGAAGGCCGTGTATGAGAACGGGTTCAACACCCCCCGGGTCATCAACCCCCACAGCCCTGCAACGGGCACACGCTGCCCATGCCCCGTCTGGTGTCCACAACCCTGATAGGCATGGAGACCGTCACGCCCGAAGCACAGTTCACCCACATGGTCATGCGGTGGGGCCAGTTCCTGGACCACGACCTGGACTCCATGGTGGTGGCCCTCAGCCAGGCCCGCTTCTCCAGCGGGCAGCACTGCAGCTCTGTGTGCAGCAACGACCCCCCCTGCTTCTCTGTCATGATCCCCCCCAACGACCCACAGGTCAGGGGCAGGCCCGCTGCATGTTCTTTGTGTGGTCCAGCCCTGTGTGTGGCAGCAGCATGACCTCCCTGCTCATGAACTCCGTGTACCCTCGGGAGCAGATTAACCAGCTCACGTCCTACATCGATGCCTCCAACGTGTACGGGAGCACAGACCAGGAGGCTCGCAGCATCCGCGACCTGGCCAGCCACTGGGGCCTCCTGAGGCAGGGCATCGTGCAGAGGTCCGGGAAGCCACTGCTGCCCTTTGCCACGGGGCCACCCACTGAGTGCATGCGGGATGAGAACGAGAGTCCCATCCCCTGCGTCCTGGCCGGGGACCACCGTGCCAACGAGCAGCTGGGCCTGGCCGGCATGCACACGCTGTGGTTCCAAGAGCACAACCGCATCGCCATGGAGCTGCTCAAGCTGAACCCCCACTGGGACGGTGACACCATCTACTACGAGACCAGGGAGATCGTGGGCACAGAGATCCCGCACATCACCTACTGGCACTGGCTCCCCAAGGTCCTGGGGGAGGTGGGCATGAAGACGCTGGGCGAGTACCCGAGCTACGACCCCAGCATCAATGCTGCAATCTTCAACGCCTTCGCCACAGCCGCCTTCAGGTTTGGCCACACGCTTGTCAACCCGCCGCTCTACCGACTGGACGAGCACTTCCAGCCTGTCGCCCAAGGCCACATCCCCCTCCACAAAGCCTTCTTCTCCCCCTTCCGGATGTTCGGGGTGGCGGGGAAGATGCGCGTGCCCTCGCAGCTGCTGAACACGGAGCTCATGGAGCGGCTTTTCTCCATGGCACACACAGTGGCCCTGGACCTGGCCGCCATCACCATCCAGCGGGGCCACGACCACGGCATCCCGCCCTACCACGACTACAGGGTCTACTGCAACCTGTCGGCGGCCCACACGTTGGACGAGCTGGAGAATGAGATCAAGAGCCAGAGATCCGGGAGAAGGTGAAGAGGTGAGTTCAGAGAGACCGGCTGCAGTGACGTGACGTGTCTGTGTAGATGCCAGAATGACCTAGACGGGGGCTGCGTGTTGCTGTCTGTCTCCGTGTTAGAGGTGTTGTGTGTGTCGTGGAAAGGGTGGATGAGGGAAGCTCATGAGGGTCCAGACTGGCCTGCATGCGGCCCTGAGGACTGCGCTCCTGCCAGGGAGGGGTCGGGGCTGCGCGGTGAGTTCCCAGAGGAGCGGTGACTTTGCAGCTGGAAGAGGGGCTGGGCTGCTCCTCACGGAAGACACCAGAACCTGGCCTGCTGTCAGGGGCTTCAGGGAGGAGGTGCCCGCTTTTGTGTCGGGAGCAGAGAGGGCAGAGATTGGCGCCAGCTCCCAAGGGTTTGCTGGCAGCCTCTCCTGCGCTCACCTGGGTACCCAGATCTGGCCTATGTGGCCACGTGCTGTGACTGCCTGACGGTGCCGGCGTCTGGGAGCAGATCCCACCGGCCTGCTGGGGTGGGCGTGCGCAGGAGCGTCAGGGCAGCCAAATGAGGTTTTTCAGGTAAAGCAGAGACCAGGATGCCACTAGGCGAGGAGGGGCCGAGGTCTGGGTGAGGACTGATGTCACCTGACCCACAGCCAGTCGTCTTCCCTCTGCCACAATAGGGTCACAAATTAGACTTTTAAAGTTCGCCAAAGTGTAGATATTTGGGCTCTCTTTTTTCCTGGTGCTCCTTTCTGTCTTTTGCTCATGAACTTCTTTTTCATGTTATTTATACCAGTTTATTTGCATCAATCTCTTAAGGAAATAAAAGTAATTACTCATTAGAGTTTTCCCACAACGATTCTTCATAGTCCTTGGATTTATGAACTAAGTCCACAGGTCA